GACGTCCTCGCCAGCGGCTACCCTGACCGCCATTCAATGAACTATACTACATCTATTGTCTATTTAAAGAAAAAAATATATTATTCTTTTTAGATACCATTTTGTAACGAAGGTTGATCATCATTGTCATCTTAAATCCTCGATACAGTTGCGTCAAATAGTAAATATACACTTGAACCTATTTTACAGTCAAGATATAGTTCCTGGACGACTCGTCTTCTTTACATCCTATCTCTTCTGTCTCGTATATTTACCATCAATTACTTCAAAATTTGCTTTTAGACCAACGCACATATCCAGAACTCAACGTAAGGTTTATCAATTTCAGTTTGTTGTTATATTCTGTTGATGTTATTTTCTTAGAAGATAACATTAGTTAACTCGAAAGGAATGTTGTGGCTGCTGATAATTATATCATTATCAGCGAATCTGTTTCAAACAACATTTAAGGCACATTCAACTCGGTTTTTAGTAAGGTGAATCATAAAAGACAAAATACCTCGTAAATATGGAGTGGTACAGGCATCGATATATGACGTCAGCTACTACTACCCAAATAACAAATTATTTTTAATTACTACATAAATGTTGCTTAAGTAAAAGCTTACTTAATTAGTAACATTTTGATGAAATCATCATATCGATGGAGGACTCTAGAGACAACAGATTATAAAATGTAGTTATGCGTTCTAAACAGTAGTTTAATTCCTAACTTCCTCTATGCTCATATTCATGCTCAATCAACGGTTCCTAGCTACATATTGTTTTATGTGACTACAACAAGCATTACTTTTTAATATAAAGACGATTTAGAAAATTTCTCTCAGTTACGAAGCGAAACGAGCAAAACTTAATTAATTCTATGTAGGCAGTTAACTTTAATAAATGGACGTAGTCTGCTAGCATAATCGCATACATTTAAGATGTATTTAATTTCTAACATTACGTTACATTCTCGGCTTTTGAACATTACAGAGGCCAAATGTCAAGCGGTAATATGATTTCGCAAGACTTTTGTTTAACAGGTAAACGCGGCTAGACAGGAAGGGAGAGAAAATAACAACTGACCGGCGACGGCGGCTACTTCCTTCGCTCCCACGTGCAAGAAGTCTGTGAGAGACAAGGAGCTAGCGATCAGCTGCCTGCGCTCCTGGAAGTCGAGTTGGTCGAGGCTGTTGGTCCTCGTCCCGCGCACCGCCTGGGCGGGCGCGCTCACAGACATGTCAACTACATGCAGCCATGTCGCACGGACGACATCTTCGGTACGAATGGTGGATACGAGCACAACACAACTGGCAAACACAAAACAAAGACACCCGCGAGGCCGGCACGAGCGCAGATAATCACGTTACGTACGTAAAGTATACCTGCGCCGCGAGGGACGCACGACGATGGACTGGCGGGCGCGCGGCGTGCGACGGGCGAGAGCGGCAGGGCGGGGGCCCGCGGGCGCCGTCTCCCCTGCAACTTGCACTCGAGCCGCACGACGCGCCACGCTCGCCGTCGTCGCGCCGCTCTCCGATCCGTGCCATAACTAGGTACCAAACCTCGCTTGGTCTGGTTTGGCGAGCCTCCGGTGATGTGATGTTAAACAAAGCGTTAACATAAACTTTGGGGTAACTTTGAACGCTACATGGGACTTAGAAAACTAATAAGACTTAGAACGAAATCAAATGAAGTCGTTTCGTTTGTAGAAATAAACTATGTCTCAAGCCCAGTTGCCTACAACGACATTTGTATGCAATACGCATTGATGCAACGAACAGAAGGAATGCGATTTGTACTTGTAGCTTAGTGGCATGTACGCAATTGCTAAACAATTGTAGTAATTCGCTAGTAAATCCGCGCGCCCCACGCCTCGTTAACGGCAGGTGTGCACTGTGCAGCCCCTTGCAGCGTCACGGCTCACGGCTGAGAGTCGTCGTGGTGCTTTGCACCCCTCAAATTAGTTCAGTAACCGCTCGATTATACTGGTAGGCGCCAAAAGCTTATTTTATATGTAATGTCAACATAAATGCTAGATCTTAAAATCTTGATTTAAATGATGTCTTGACACTATGGATAATAAAATAAAGTTTAATTAAGTATTCGGTGTGTGCGAAGTTTGTTCGAGTAAAACACTCAGTAGCTCAGTAGAAAATACTTATAACGCACAAGGATATTAGGGGAACTATAGAGAGGACTTGCAGATTTACTATTGTCGTTTAGGCAGTACATTTCATTTATAAAAGTTAAGAATCAAATAAAACTTTTGGTGACGCAATATTAATTAGAATAACTTAGGTAAATGCCGGAAAATATAAAATCTTTTCAGTAGAATTCAGGTTCGTCATCAAAGCCTTAAACATTACACTATTATAAGTAATAATAATATTTTTTTGATTTCATAGTATTATTCCACATATAAGAATTTTTCGAATTGACAGAACAAAATTACAGGTACATACACAGAAAGAAAATAAACTAAAGCGATCTAGGGGACCTGTATGGTTACGTTACGTGTGCACACAGCCAATGTCCCATGATTGGCAGCCCGGCCCATATTGGCACTTAGCCCTCTTTAAAATACAAGGCAATTATTGGAGGGTGGCATCACAAAACAGGATATTTTGGCGATTAATTGGAAAGGCTTCCACCCAGTGGACTAGTTTCAGCTGAACATAGAGTAAATTCTTCGAACTTACAACAGCCAATATTTTGGGAAAGGCATTACAATCAGCTCATGTCACATAGGTAAAATCATACCAGTATTTAATGCAAAGTTATTACAGATAAATATTAGGCCATATAATATGCGAAAGATTTAGTTATTTTCACTTTACTTCCTAACATATCAAGTGCATATTAGAAAATTTCAATCACATTCCCTAAGATTGTCCATAAGATTTATTTTTCTTACGATAAGTAGTATGCATAACCTCTTGAATGTATGTAAGTATAACTAGGTACTACATAGACAAAAAAAATCTTTTACTAATTAATACTTAGTGAGGTCAAATTTTTTCCAACATTCTCACTTTAAAAAGATAACACTTTAGAGTAGATACACCCAATTAATGTCACGTATTCAACTCACATAGTGTTGCAGGTTCGTCTACGAGGCCGCATTCGCTCCTTGTGTCGTCATCTATCGGTCTGCGTTTGGTTCTATTCTTCTTCGTTTTAACATTTATGTCATCCATATTAGAGCACAACGCACTCAACTTGTCACAGGCACATTTCAACATACAGTTCGCATCGTATGCAGTAGTCATATGTATAAATAAGTGGAATTGCGATATACAACTAAGACATTACCCAGAGAATTTGTTGATTAGATAGCGGCTGATACAGTGACGATTTATCAACGAACACTTTACAGCACAGTAAAAGTACTTCAGTTCAGTTGCTCCTTTAACTTTGTACACTTTTTTCTTTATAATTTTGTTAGTATAAGTTGTAGCACATATGTGTCAATATTTGCAGTAATAATAAAAAATGGAAGGATATCCAATAATGGGTTAAAAACACAATCATAACATTTTATCACAGGATTGTACTGTGTGGATTGCTTAAGGGATCACAGTGTTGACGGGTAGATTAAACGTTTCGTTCGATTATTAATAGAATGTACCCTTTGCCCTAGAAAATAAACCGACCATACATTAAAGCCAGCCGTCTAGGTAAGCGTATAACGTACGCGATGAAGCTTGAATTTATAAAAAATACATAAAAGAAAACATTGAAATTTTACACTGGGCGGTCATAATAAGTGAAGCGGCTATTCGGTCATATCAATATAAAGTATAGTTAAGTCATAATATTGATGAAAATGGTACATGTTAGTTGATAGATTACGTTAAAGCTCAGAGTGTAAACCAACGACAAGCATATCAGACGCTGACTATTGATTTACAAGTCCCTCACTTCAGCAGTTTGTTGTTTAGCTAGCATAGCTCTGGTGTTTGAAGTTTTTTCTAAACCACACATGAAACTCATATAACCAATAAATATCATGAAATACTATTAACTGTAATCGTTGAACAAAACATTTCAAAGAGGTTATAATAAATAAATGAGTCGAGAAACTACGACTAAAATATGTTATCTTTCTGTTAATTGCATGACTAGCTGTAATTTTAAGACATTCCGCTGGATTACCCTGACTACCGAAGGTAACATATTGTCTCACCTTTGGTGTAGATGGGGAAATCACCGTCAGATCTGCTATGGGTGAGCATGGAGCCGTAGGACCGCCACGGCGGGCGATCACGCGTCAGCCGCGGGCCCTCCACGACGCCGCTCACCTCAACCAACCCAACATCACATGTAATCACGGCACACGGCCCTACGTTTACGTACCACGCAGTACGTACGCGGGACGACACACCGAGCACGCTTTGACACGCCAATGGCGGCGCCTTCGAGGCGAGAGTACGAACGGAGGCTGCGCGGCGCATCTTACTCGCGCACCCTCGCGCCCTCCCTCGTCATATCCCGGCATTCCGATAACCTTCCCTACCTAGAGCTTAAATAATATAATTTCAAATACTGCTAACCGTAACGTCGTTGTATCGATGTTATACACTTTAGTATGCATATATGAGAAATTATGCCAGATATTATTTATAAAAATTATAGGTATTACATTACAATATACAACTGGGTAGTTAGAATTTTATTTTTCTCGCTCGTTTTCGAAATAAGCAGAACAGAGTAAACTGGTGGAGTCTAAGGTTCTAAGAACAATAAAAACATACAAAATTCATGTAAAACACGCCATTTATCTCCCACTTTTGAGTGTATATTTTTAATTCACCAAAAAATATTTATAAAGATATTTTATAAGTAATAAGTTTAAACAAGAATTTAAATTCTTCCCAAATTATATATATCCATGATTTTACAACATTGAAATAGCCTAACATTTTATACAATTACATAACACAATACACTGTTTATACAAATTGTAATTATATGGAGTTGACATCTATGTCATTATTAAAAACAAATATATAGTTATCAAACACAAATTTTAACTTTTAATTTCATCCTTTTATCAAACAGATACTGTTGACCATGAATTATTACTGGCAATAAAAAAAAATAAAGCAATAAAAATTACACTCCAGTAGTATTATCTTCTTTTTTAATCTATAACATTTCCTACTATCCTTCCGACTTGTTAATATTTTAATTTTAAATAGTATCAGTCACATAGTTATATAAAATTTATATTAAAACATATTTATCAGACCAATGTCAGTTTACTAGCAAAGTGTTTACTCACACAGATCACCGTTTGTAGCTGAAGGTTCAATTGGTAATGATAAATGTCGCCCTCCTTTTCCAACTGCCTGCACACCCTGAATTGCTTTGTCCTCCGTTTGACCTAATGAATATAATATATTGAAACTTTTTAATTTATAAATCTTTGTTACATTTGATTGTGAAAGAATGTAGGCAACTAAAATTTACATAATAATTTATTTCTATACATAAGTACATAAATTCTAATTTTACATTTCAAAAGATATAATTTTTTAATTTCATATTAAATATTATATCACATCTCGCAATGGGAAAATATAGAAAGGTATATTTCTTTCATCGGGGTAAAAGGAAGTAACTGAACGGTGATCTTGTATGTTTCTAATGGAAATACTACTATTTTTTGTTTTATCTTGTAATAAATATTTCTCTTTATACAATGTTTTCCAACTTGTTACAACAGTTGTATTATCCTTGTAATCCCTTTTATACATTTCTCGCCATAATCCATCATTGCTTGCTACAGCTTTTAGACGTTTACAAGTTTCTGATATATTTAATACATCCCTGGCAGGCAGATAAGGAAGAATATTAAACAGTATGATCTCATCGGGAAGGCCAACTAAACTAGCGCTTGGATATCCATAGTTGCTGAGAATCTTGCTTTTAACTGCTGACAAAACTTTATTCTTGAAAGTAACTGAGAGATGTTTTAAATCACGAAATATCATAGGTATACTTGAAGCTCGCGGTGAGACAACATAGCGACTGATCGGGAGACAAACTGAATAAGTTTCACCATTCATGTCATTTATCACCAGATTTATCAACATCAGTGCGCCCATTGGACTTATAATAAGCTTCAATGGTAAGTCAGAACACCCAAACATTACAAACTTAGCCTCATACAACCCAGTCTCTAACTTTTTAGGTATTAAATGTTGAACATCATAAGAGTTTACACTTTCTTTAACCTCAGAATCATTAATAACTGGTAGAAATCCATTTTCTAGCATCAAAACAATAATCAAAACATAAAACAGATCATTTTGTACAGGTTCTGAGCCTTTATTCTGGGAAAGCACTTCTCTTGATAGTATATCTAGTAATGAGGATATATTTTCTAATGTACTATCTTCTAATTTCAGAGACATTTTAAGGAATAATGCAAAATTTGGTACATAAGTATTTATATTGAAAAGTCATGGCAATAAGAACTACATAATTTTTTATATCAAGTTGTCAATGTCAAAGATTTTAAGATTGTCATAGTGTGAAAATTTGACATATGTCAGTCAACAGACTAAACATTTACAACTTGGAATTTGTCTATGGTTTTTATTTTTGTTTAATCGCTGCATTTTAATAGTATGCTGTGAAATATAAAAGGAGTGCCCTACATAGTAACAAACTTTTTCAAAATATTTGTTTAAGTACTAACAACTGAACTAGAGTATCAACTTATCAAAAAGTTTCTTAATGCATAGTTTGACAAGATGTTTACCGCTATGCACTAATTGAAATAATAAAAATTACTAATTAAAAAACAGGAAATTCTGACATATTAAATAAAACTTTACATAGTTGCTTAGTATATGATACAATTACTACTAATAGTAAATCATTTCTGACTATACTAAATCATAAATAAGTACCAAAGTGCACTTTGAAGGATATGACATGCTAAAAGGAGTACTAATAGGCTGTAACTTAGAGAAAAATCTTGTAAACTTAGAGTTAGTTTTTAGACAATCAAAAACAGTTAACCAATATGGATTTACTGCAATACTAAAATTATGGATTTAATAAAGTTGTATGTATACATACACTTTTATAAAAGTAGTTTTATGATTAAAGATATCTTTGTGACGGATCATTATTTTATGTGGTTTTGTTAACCATCTGTTTATCAGAACAATTTTAGAAAAAGAACACTTTATGTAGTATCCACCAACAGCAAAATATAAAAGTTTTAAATGATTGCTTAAGAAGTTTTCTTTCAATTACAATAGTTACCATAACATGGTTGTTATGAGTCATATTGTTTAGTTGTGGTCAAGAATTTGTGACAGGCAAAATACAAATGTAAAACGATTTTTTAAGTAGAAAATGAAAAACAGGCCACTAATTCGGCAAGTTTATGTATCCGTAATGCTTTTAGATCTACTGACAGTATTATAAAAGATCATATTTCTTAAGTTGTTCTAATAAGAAGAGCAATATAAAAAACATATGTAACACAACTTTTGTATTACAAACATGATTAACACAGAAACAACTTGTTGAAGTAGTCCTAGTTGAGCATTTCAACAAATTACGTTTAATTAAAGCACTTCGCTTGGGTATTACGAAAGAGTTATAAATTAGAAGTTAAATCAAATGTCACTAACAACTAGGTTAGACCGTGTACTGCATTTTGTTTAAACAAACTTCTGTGTAACTTACCTATATTTCCGCTACTGTCTAATTTCTTATTGCTCTTCAAGGAACCATCAGAATTCTGATTACCCGAACTTTTATCGTTGTCACTAGCCATTGAAAGGTTTCTTGCAACTCTCAACAACTATTCCATTGTTTTTGAGGTTCTATTGGTTAAGTTATAAAGCTAATTTTCTAATCTATCTTATAAACATATAAAAGTAAGAAAAGCACTTTGATAACTTTTTATAACTACGATTACTAATACATGTTTACACCTTCGACAACCGACTGTTCGTTCAAAACCAGTATTTTCTAAAAATAATTTTGATTATCTGTATATGAGAGTATAGATAACTTATAATTGACTTTAGCAAAAAAACGAATATTTTTGAAAGAGACACAATCTTAGTTCCCGTTGGAATTTATATCAGAAGTTCAGATGATAACGAGAAAGAATTTTATGAATTACAAAGGTATACATATTGTTTTTGAACTTGAAAACAATTTATAATCTATGCCGTTTCGTTTTATTCTTCAGGGTGTCTTATTTGTTGCGAGGCTACAACTATTTTAAATTACCAAGCTATAATTTAGGTCTTGTACATACAGGGCTTTGCTAAAGAATCCTGCGGCTTTACAATCGCCTAGAAACCGCAGAGTTCGTAATTATCGTCTGCATACATTTTTATGTTTATTAAGGATCAGTTTAAGGCTAAATTGTTATTTGCTACCTGACGAGGTAGACAATATAAATACTATTTGGAATCTTCAGAATTAAGATTTTATCAAATTTGCTCAAAGAGCCAAAAATAATTAATAATGTAAATTAGTTTACATTTTAACTTTTAAACGACCTAAAGGAGTTGGACACTTACTATTTAAGATTCGTATTAATTTACGTTTGACCGCACGCTTCATCTGTAAAATGCCTTATGCCTTTAAGCTAAAAGCTACAATTTGATTTGTTACACTTGTCAACTTTTCTAATCTATGAACAATTTTTGCTGTGCATTTGTCTTGTTTGTTCCTTATAATTTTTCGTCATAACTTTGGTCATAACATAAGATAAAAAGTTGTAGTTTGGTGGTAATTAATTGGAATATTTTTTAATATAATTAGTTTAC